TAGCAACTTCATTAGATGTATTGTTATTGTCAAAAAAGATTATTTCACAACAGAAGCAACTTACTAGACTGATGTAATTTGGCTACTCACAGCCTCTACCATGAGTAACCTTCCCAGGAAACCATGTTTGGAAAAACCCATCAGTGACATATTGTTGGATCAGCACAAGAAATGAAGTCAGCAGTCAGCATGAAGTGAATACAGCAGCTCATTGAACGTGGATGGATGGATGGATGGATGGATGGATGGATGAGTGGATGGCCTCAGGGTTGTAAATAGAACTCCCTGGGGCCCCAGGCAAATCTTGCAGATTCTTCCCCCCCTCCCCACCATGGTGAGAGAGCTCAGGCACTGAGCTTCATGAGGCTGCAAAAATCAAGGGAGGACAGGAGAAGGGAAGAGCAGAGTCACATAGCCTATTCTTCCCTGTCACAACCATAGTAAATGGTGTCTGTGGGGAGAGCAAGAGGGTTTAGAGTGACATAAGCAGTATAGTGCATTGCAATACATACCCCACCCCTTTTCTACATGTATTGGGATGCTGCTGACCAAAGTTATGTATGTATGTTACGTATGACAATCAATTGGTTTATTCTGTGTGGTTTGCAGCATACCATAACAGAATGGAAAACAGAACAGACAAGACCAAGTAAACAGCAACCTAGATCATTCCTGTCCTTCAGACCTCACCTGAATAAAATTGTTTGGGCAGCCTTGTGGAAGGATGATTTTGACGAGGCCAGGTGTTCCTCTGGTGGCAGGATGTTTCAAAGCACCACAGCTACCATGGAGAAAGCTTGCCTCTGGGCCCAAGCCCTCTCACCTCTCAAGATGGTGGTCATCTAGGTTTTTGCAGCCCAACTATGGTATTTCTATTCTCTTTCTCCTTGTTCTTTCACAAGCAGGAAAGAGGAGGAGATCTAGAAGAGGAAGACATTGCCCAACAGTGATTCCAGGAAAGTTGCAGGGCCTCCAATGCCTGTGCCTCTAGCAATGGTGCTGCAGCTGAAGCAGCGGCTGACTTGGGAGCAGCAGCAGCCATGATGGGGACTCCTCGCTTGCTTCTCAATCCTTCTGTGGTGCTCTTCTGGAGCCTTGCACCTGGCCTCTGATGTCTGGGCTGCAACAATCCAGAGGAAGACTAGACATGGCAGGAAGGAGATGCAGAAAACTAACCCTTTTTTGCAATCTAGTGATCGTCTGGATTTCTGAAGGCCAGATAGGCTTGGTAGACTTACCTTGCATGGTCAGATTTTGTTGAAGGTGTGGGGCAAGGAATGGCCAGCATGAGAGCCTAATAGGACTCTCTGCTTTCCCTGCCATCTCTATATTTAACCTCTGGATGCAAGGAACAGGGCATGTTGCAAAAGATATCTTAAAAATGAGGAAGTGAATAAGTTCTAAAGCAATATTAACCTAAAGGCATCTGAAAGGCCCTAGTCCTGCTATGAAAGATAAAGAAGGTAGGATAGTTCATTTTTACAAGGCATAATCTTCTATGGCACGGTCCTATTTAAACACATCCTACTCTGGGTCCTTGACTCACCATCAGATTGTGCTGATGACTGTTTCTACATCATGCTAGGCCATGTTTTATTTTAATCATGCTTTGTTGAATACACCTCTGTGGCCAGGTTCACCTTTGCCAAGCCAAAAT